ATATAGACATTTTTGGCTTAATCCCTTAAAAGAGATTTAGGATCTCTTCATTATAATCTATGTAGAAGACTGACTGACGCTGAATTCTAGCTTAAAATTGGCTTCTTGTTAGACGTTAAGCTGACGGCTTTTTGGACTTTTTTCTTATGGAAGAAAATGAGCAAAACCGTTTTCAAAGAAAATCAAAATAAAATTAACGCCGGTTTTGCAATCGGTTAAAACTTGCACTTTATTACAAAAAGATTTAATGAGATACAAAACTGCATACTCAAAACAATTCTAAAAACATTAAAAAACGTTTTAATTTTGTAGTGTTCTCATTTTACTCAACTTCGGTGTAAAAAAAAACTCATAACTCAAATTATTGTAGAGTGCAGCCCATATAATACTATATGTACTTATATATTGCGCAATACTCAGAGCTACCATTGTTATTTTTTGCAATTTTTTTGATATACATATGTAACCAAATCACCAAACCAACCAAACTTAATCTCAGAAGTCATCGAAATTGCCACTATTCTTCAGACATCTTTAGGCTTAAATGCTACATTTTAATATGTAAATCAACCACGATTTTTGAGTTTTTCCAATGCAAATTAATTCACAAATAAAATGTATCTTTTACTTGGCAGAGGAATCCAATCAAAAATAAATTTTATTTGAGATTAGTCCGACAAATCAAATAACAAATAAATTTTATTTTATATTTGTCACACGAAGCAAATCAAAAAATAAATTTTACTTTTTATTTGGTCTTCTCTCGAATCAAAACACAAATCAAAAAGAAACTCTGCAGGGGAACTTCTGGAGTTAATTATGCTTGGGTGTTACATGGCGTATGAGCAACCCCAAATTACTCTTTAATTCCAAGGATTCAGATGCAGTGATTTAAATTATTGATACATAGTTAGTTAATAATGCGGAAACCGTATTAAAAGTTTAATTTAAATAAATATTCCGTCGGTAGCCCGGAATATTGCCTGTTCGCTAGGAACCCTCAAAATTGTAAAAAAAAACAATAGTTATTAAAATATATTTAGACATATATATTTTTTATCGGCTATACATACTAACAAATATCAAAGATGTGTTTGTACTTGGCCAGGCTGATGCAACACTCTAATTATCCCTATCATGCAGTGCATAATTACCTCCATGCATATGAATGTAGGTACATATATATTTATATATATTTTTATATAGAAAAATTGTAAATTTTTTTTCGTTTAATTTTTCCACGGCAACCAGACAGCCAATTACAACAACAACTGCAGCAAAAAATAATAAAAGCATTTAGTGCAACCGATGATAGGCGTCGTACACAGCACAGCACAGCACATCACAACAACCAAACAAGGTCTGAGAATTTTATCCAACAGCACCGCAAAAAGAACCGCAACGAAATTCACTGAAGCAGTGCGCGCAAGTATTTTCAAAATGCACATACACATATACATACATAGTATGTACTTACCCTGCAGAAAAAAACGATCAATTGATAAAAAACTAGTTAAACTAGTTGACAAGTAATGCAGGAGATTGGTTTCTTTAAACGCGTTTCTATTTAAATTTAAACGCGCTTCTATTTAAATTTAAAAGCGCTTCTATTTAAACATCCTGCACTTCGCAAATATTTTTTTCGAATTGAGGACATATAAAAGGAAGATCGAAATTTTATATAATTTTTTTTTTTAAGTTCAATTATGGGACCACCCTACTACCTACAGCAGAATATGTAAACAAATATGAAATGTAATAAAATAAATAAAGTAAATTAATAAAAAAAATTAAAAATAAATATTATGTTTTTCCTATTGATATTTTATGTCCAAAAGAAGTTAAGTAGTCAAATGCAGAGGTAACCACGCTTGACTCTTTCGCGGCCATCGCCATAGAAATATACATAGTTAGCTTTCGTCAAAGAAAATATAGAAAAATTAGCTCCTTCCTAATCAACTTAAAGTTAGCTTATGTGTAGTTAGATAAATTTCCTGTAGGGTATTTATGTACATGTACCACTTGTAGCGGATGCGAATTGCATTGCTGATGACGTTGGTGTTGTTGGAGTGCTAGCGGTGACGTCGCCAGCCCAGTGCAGTGAGTGCAGTGCATGCAAACCTCGATTCGAGTGTGTGTTTGTACGTCACGATAGCTGCAGCGCCCGCAGTGTTGATGACGATAATGACGACAATGCGACGCGATGCAATGCGAACGATGACAGTGCAAGTTTAACAGTGTTATTGTTTGCAAAACTGTTTACTCAATTACTAAATTTGTTAAATATAATAAATGCAAAATATGTACACATATGTATATAGATATGTAAATTTTAGAGGACACATTTGACACATGATGTATGTACATTAGGGTGCATCACTCTGCATAAAAAAAAAAGTCGGTACGGGTTTTCCATGCGAATTATAAAATTTATTACATTTTAAGATTTTCGCTAAAATAATTCGATTTACATGAACTGGCCCGATTTGAAAATTCCTTCAATAATCTCAATTTTAAACTCTTCTATTATTTGCGGTGATTTTTTGGAATAAATTTTTGGAGGTCTTTTCAAATCAGTCCTTCTCACGTAAATCTTAGTGTTTCGCCAAAATATCTTGGCAAGAAAATTTGTAAAAAATGTATGGTTTGGCAATTGAAATTGAATTTAAACTAAGAAGTAGTTAACAAAATATTCATCATTTGTTGTTAGAAGTAATGCTTACAAGGCAAACAAAGATTTTATTTATTAATTTTTCTCCTCGTTTTAAACATCGTAGATACTAATTTACATACCTTAAATTCCAAAAAAGAAGTACCAAATAAGTATTTTTCGCTCGATCTTTTATATACCCCTTGGCAATATATTCGGCAAATTTCCATGATGATCCCAAATATTCCAAATGAAATTTAATACTGTAAGAAAAAAATGTAATCTATTAGTTTATTGCGAATTTTTAAAATATTTTGAATAATATATAATT